ATCACCACGAGTCCCGGGGAAATATTTGTTTCACTTCATGTTCCATACTATCTTGACCTATTATTATGAAATGTATTTTGCCTGGTGCTATATTTACTTATTATATATCTTTTACTGAGCACATATCTCATAGAGCAAGTAAAAAAAAAATCACCTTTGAAAGGAGGTAAAGATTAAATATTCTAATAAGATAATTATTGTGCAAACATGCATTGGTTACTTTGTATTTGTTAATATGTTCGATGACAAATGATTAGAAACAAAACTTTAAAATATGTTAAATTTGCTTTATACTTGCTTAATTTTTCCACACACTAGAAATGTTTTTTATTTTTGCTACTTCACCAGGGAAAAGATGTCAACACTGACTTATTACCATTTTCTGCAAAAGCCAGGACCTAGGATGATATTACCAACTTTTGATTAACTGCAGTGTTCATTGTCCTATATCAAATTCCCTTAGAAAATTTGACTTTCTAGGTCCTAACTACAGGTTCTCCCGTAAATTAAAATTTATAAGAAAAATTTTTATTACAAGACAAAAAAAAAGAAATAATTACACAAATTACTATCATACAAAAATTCCATATCTACAAAGAAACTCAATGTTTTTTAAACTCTCAAACTTTCGTAAGAAAAGTTAGTAAGTCAAATTTGAATAATGAGAAGAAAAGCAGAACACAATGATTGCATACTTATTTTGTTAAATATTTGTTTATGTTATATCATATTGGTGTTAATAAACTGATTATAAAATGGTGATTAATGGAACAAGAATATAATAATTTTTAAAAGACTGCAATATAATCATAGTTTGGAAGAGGAATTGAAAATAAAATTGGGTATATCATAAAAGAAATTCAATACTACATGTTTATATTAGAATAGGAGAAGATTGAGTGTTATTAGAGTTAAACTAGGGGTATCATTTGCTAACGAATTTATATTAAATGACATGAACAACTCATACTTTAGTTATGAGGATGAAATGAGTTAATGCATTTAAAACAGAGCATTGTTTGCCATAAAAGTAAATGTTCAGCAAATACAAGCTACTAATGTGGGCTGAAGACCTTAAAACTTTAAAAAAATATATCTTCCACTATCGGGGATTTAGTGATAATGCTACTCTCCTCACGAACAGAACTTGTTAGCACTCACTATCTGTCATGCACCTCTAGCACCTAGATTTTAGTCTCTACAACATATGGTCATTGAAAAGTAGTTGAATCTATACTTGACTGGAGGACAGGGAAGCAGGAAGCCAAGATGTTATTAGTGGAAAACTAGAATATGTTAAAATAGATTTCTGAGTAATAAGACAACAAACAAGCTGGCATTTAAGAGAGTTTCAGGAGTCAAATGAATATAGTCAATTTAAATATGTATATGATTAACCTGACTCTGCAAAAGGTCATGGAACATCAATGATACTAAAAATCAGAAAGCTTTCTTAAACATGTATGTGCATATATGTATTTATATATATATATATATATATATATATATGCAAAATTCATGCAAAAGAAAGATAACTATGGAATACATTTACATGTTATCTTTAATAAATATGGTCTTATTATATGGATATCTTCAGTTTTCAATGAAGTATATCTACTATAAAATAAAAATTAGTAGTTTTGTCAATGAATAAAATTAGGGGAGACCTAACTTGTGCTTATTTAGCACTATCCAACATGTTTTGGAATTCTATCATTTCAAGCAATGATGTCATCTTTTAAAGGGCCAGGCTCGGTGCCTCAGCCTGTAATCCCAGCACTTTGGGAGGCCGAGGTGAGTGGATTGTCTGAGCCCGTGGGTTCGAGACCTACCCGGGCAACTTGGCAAGACCGCGTCTCTATAATAAATCAAAAACTTAGCCAGGCGTGGTGGCGTGTGCCTGTAATTCAGGCTACTTGGAAGACTGAGGCAGAAGTATCACTAGAGCCCAGCAGGTCAAGGCTGTGGTGGCCGTGAGTGTGCCACTGCACTCCAGTCAGGGCGACAGAGTGAGACTCTGACTCAAAAAAAAAAAAAAAAAGAGACAATAGCCTATGTAAAAGTTAAAGATTTTAAAAGTATCATTGATATTATAAAAATAAAATTAATTAGAAATGGGGAACCAGAAGTCACTTTTTGAGTTAGATAATATGGTCCTTCTATTTGATTTAGGAAATAATAATGGCACTAGCACTGTGGAAAAAAACATATCTAATAAAGGTATTGTACAATAGAGAATAAAATTAATGTGTAAAAGGTAAAAATACTTCTCCAATAAAATGATTATAAGCTGAGTAGAACATAAGCATATGCCTCAAGAAGAATTATGTGATAGATTTTTATCTACAAGTACCGTTTTAGTAAAAACTTTTGCAATCATTTTGATAATTAATAAATTTTGTCTAATTTTAAGGCATTTAAAACATTTAACAGACTCATGTACTAGGCTTCCATATATGATACATGTTTCATAAAATGTGATTGTCTGTTTTCATAATTATCTAGATTTACTAAATATATCAGTTTTAAAATATTAGTTGCATAATTAGTATTTAATCTGTTAGACAAATAGTGGCTGATTGATATAAAAGATTAATAATTTCAGCTTTAAAATGTGTGAAAAGTAATGAGTATTACTCTACAAAACCGTCTCAGACAGTATACATTCCAACAATAGTGAGTTTATTTTATCTACCTATTCTATCTATGAGTCCAGATATAAGAAACTTATGATGTAAAAGAACTCTGCCACCACGTTTCTGTCTGTCTTTACCTTGACATGATTTCACTTCCTTTCAGAAGCCCCCTTTCTTTTTTCTCACCAATTCCTACATTTTCTCTCTTGATCTTCAAACTGCCTTGACACCCAGAATCCTATAGCACCCCCAGTCCATTCAGGTGTGATAGAACGTATGGTCATCAAGTCTTCATTTTTTTCTCTCTACCACCCATATTTGCATTTATTTTAAAAGATAATCCGCGAAAATAGAGGTATACCCAAAGGACTCAATTTTTAAAAGATATAAGTATGAACAAAATGGCACATAGGCAGGGAAGTAACTTAGAGGCAGAGGTGGTCTCCCCTGCATAAGGAACTGCCTGTCTGCTTTACCCAGGCAACTGAAGGGATCTCACACGTATCCAACCTATGGCCTGAACTGAGAAGAAATTGGATAAGGATTGAGTCATACGTTGCTACCACTGAATGCATACAGAAACCAATACTCTTTAAATTTAAAATAAGCAAATATTGCTCTGAAGCAAGTTGAAGACAGCTTCATGCTAACTAGGTAAGATACATAAGATAGATAGTGTTTCCCATGCTGGTGCCAAAGGGCTCACTTCTACACTTTATTTGATGGCTGGGGTTGGTTTTTGTAGGAAGCCTAGGAAGGTATGGCCACACATACACCTAAAATGGATAGATTTCTTCTATACATGCATGCAGAAAAACACTTAGTATAATTTGCTGCCACTAAGAAGAAAAAATAAAATATAGGCTATTGTGACTGGTATATTTGTGTTACATAATATAGTCCAAAAAGTAAGGTATACATTACTAAGATTTGTATATCACATTTTTTGGAATTGCTAGACACATCTTGGAAAGAATGCTCTGTTGAACAGAGGGGCAATTATGATGGTTATTTATTTTGTTTACCAGGTTACTTAGTTAATGTGCATACCAAAACATATTAGGTTCTGAGACACACCACATAATATTTTCCAAAATAAAGAGAGCGTATTTAGGCTTCTCTCTTGGTGTCTTTGGCTTAGGTAAATGTACCAACTGAACTCCTTAGCCAAATCTACTTAAAGATGACATTTACATTTTCCTAGGACCTAGCTCAGTGCTCTCCAAACTGTATTTGTTACCAATCCTTTGTTCTTTCCTTTCCTTTTTTTTGTGATTTATTGTAGAGATGAGGTCTCGCCAAGTTGCCCAGGCTGGTCTCGAACCCGCGGGCTCAGGCAATCCTCTCACCTCAGCCTCCCAAAGTGCTGGGATTATAGGCGTGAGCCACTGTGCCTGGCCTGTTCTTTTCTTTTCTACTTCATACTTCTTTAACAGTGTGTCCAAATTGTGAGTTAATTAGAAGTGATACCGGAGAAAGATTACATAGGGAAAAATCAATTATTATATTCTTCAAGGTATAATTTTAATTTGACAATCATGTTTTAATCACTTATGTAGCCAATACAATTACATCCAAATTTTTCACATAAAGATTGCTAATCCTCTTCTCTATTTTCTAGAGACTGTAACCTTCAAGAGTTTAAACTCAAGTCAGATTACTCACTGAAGAATAACTTAACATTTTTTATGTTAGTTCATCTTCAATTTATTGTAAGCCCTCATAAGGAAAATAATTTCCAGAGTTATTAAGAAATCAGTACATTTAGTTAATCAAATATATGATCTACTTTAGGAAAGGTTTATATTCACATTTGATATTATTTTTCCAAAGAAAAATGGAGATACTTGGGAGCCATAGTCAGAATTGGAAATATTAGCATTCCAGAATCATTTCTTTGGTTTCCTCACAATAAGAAGAAATTTTAGGATATGCTATCTCATATTCTGATGAATCTATACCAAATAATGACTGTAATAGACAGTAGCAAAGCAAAAGCAGATAAATAGATATCTTAAAATTTGAATTCCAAAACTTATGTTTCCTCATAGAAAGTTTAATTGAAACTCACAACTTGAAAATAATACATAATAAATGGTGTGTTTGAAGCTATATTTTTATGAGTTCTTTTTTGAATGGAATTTAACCTCCCAGATGTCAAGTTTATTTTGAAGAAAGCAAATATTTTGGAAAATTACAAAATATCCCAGGAAGAAATACACTGTTTGCAGAGTTCTAATCCTCACCTTGGTTTTAGCACCTGTTTCAATTTGCGATTATAAGCTGTTGCTTAACTGAAATTTAAAAATATATACATGCACATTCTATTCATACATACAGAAAGATGTCATGTATTTTACTCACAGGCAAACTGCAGTATAGCTTCTCTGCTAAGAATACTTCCAAAAGGGTTGGTTGCCAAACACTGGTAATGACCAGAGTCCTTTGCCTCACTTGGACTGCTGATAATGAAAGTGCCATCTATCAGACTGTAGCGATAGTCACTTTCCAGGTCTATTTCCGTTCCATTTCGAAGCCATCTTAGGAAAAACCACAAGACAAATATATCAAACTTACTTGAGACATTATAAATTTCCTGGGAATGTCAGAATTTCGTTGATGAAAACTCCCATAGGTTCAAGAAAAAGGATTCACAGAGAATTTGTACCTGTAACTGGGAACTGGATTGCCACGGACTTCACAGTTCAGTGCCACCTTCTTCTCATCAGAATCAGTTGGAAAAATGATGTCATCTGGTTCTTGCACAAACACAGGCCCATAGTCCACACTCTCTGTAAGAACCCAAACAGACGCACTTACAAATTCCTCAAAGTAGCATGCTATTTGTGTTCTCCACCATTATATTTATATTAGACATTCTTGCTCTTTCCTTGAAATCAACAGTCAAGTTTCCAGTAGGAAAAAAATAGCCAGAATATTATATTACATTGTTTAAGAACATTCTAGAGACCTAAACAGAACTTTTTGACGGACTAAAAATGCTTTTAAAGGTATGATATAAGTAATGAAAAAAACATCTTAAACATGAACATAGATTAATATATGTGTGTGTACGTATATTTGTTTTTATCTTCTAAAGCAGACCCAAGGAAAATAACATTGAACACAAACGCTATTTTTAAAAAAAATCTAAAGTTTTGTGAAACTCTTAGAATGCTAAAAATAATACACAATAAAGGGACAAATTACTATTGTGTCACCGCTTAGAAGCTACAGATACGAAAACGCTGGTCTTTCTGCATTCTCCATATGTTCTTCTCTTCACTCACACATACAAGCCTGTTATTTAGGGTTAATGATGCCGTCATGAAAGGAAAAAGAATGATGCAATGCAAATAAATATATTTTCATGGAATAATTGGGGTGTGTCTTCAAAAAAGACACGTGAAATAAAATGTCAGCACTTCACACCATTAGGTGTTCAATCCATAGGTAAATGTTGTAAATAAGGAGATCAGATGATAAAAGGAGTACAGTGTATCCCAGGAAGTTAATCAAATATATGATCTACTTTAGGAAATGTTTATATTCACGTTTGTGTGTGTGTGTGTAGTGACATTTGGTATTATTTTTCCAAACAAGAATGGAGATATTTGGGAGCCATAGTCAGAATTGGAAATATTAGCATTCCAGAATCATTTCTTTGGTTTCCTCACTCTAAGCAGAAATTTTAAGATATGCTTCCAAAAGGGTTGGTTGCCAAACACTGGTAATGACCAGAATCCTTTGCCTCACTAGGACCGCTGATAATGAAGGTGCCATCTATCAGACTAGTGATAGGCCCAAGGAGTGCCAGTCGGAAGAGCACACAAACCTCTCACACACTCTACTCCAGACACGAGGTTCTATTTAACTGAGTTATGTAATACGCAGATAAATACGATGCTAAAAGTACTTTGAAACTCATGAGAAATTCATGGAAAAAGTAAGAATGAAAAGGGGGCTCAAGCGTCAGCTTGGACTTGAGTTTTAGAATAAGTCCACTAGAGAGACAAATCTATGTACAGGAGAGAGAAAAAGTGAGTCATGTTCGTCTGTGGCTATGTAAGAATTCAGAGCAACATGTGCACATCTAAGAGATGGCATTCTTGACCATAGACTTGGGGTGAAGTTAAACTTTTGAGTTTGTTTTTACTGATTATGAATGGGGTTATGGGAAGGCCTTGGATCCAGTTTGTTTCTTGACCCCACTGACGTTTTGGGATAGACTTTGCTGTGGGAAGCTGGCCTGGTGCACCGTGGGACACTTAGCCTCACCTCCGGTCTCTTCCACCAGATTCCAGCAGCACCCCTCTCCAATATGGAATAATCAAAATGTCTCCAGATACTATTCAGTGTCTCCTGGGGTTAAAACGGTATTCATTGAAAACCGCTGCCGATAAATGACCGGGAAAGATTCAGAAGAGACATATTTCCAACACTTCTGTACTCAACAGTTAGAAGCTTACATTCTAAGTGGATAACCACACACACACACAAAAAAAACACCAGGAAAAAAGTATAAGAGCAAATGATCCTGGAGACTTGAGCTTTAAAAACATTACTTGAAAAGATACTCCACATTTAGAAGAGGAAATTTGGAGTTAATTGATTTGCTTTCTTTAACCACCTTATATGCCCCTTCATCTGGGCAAAGAAAAACAAAAGTGTTGATGGTATTATAAACAAAATAAAAATTGAGTGTGCATGATGAGCATGCACTGACAAGTATTTTCTTTTAGTCCTTGATAACCTAGCTGAAATTTGTTAGCTACAGAAAAATATTACATCAAAAAGAAAATTGTATGTCTTTATACCAAATTATATTGCTGTCACTTTGAACTTTTATTCAATGAGGAAAAGGAAAATAAATAAATAATTTGATAAATAAATAGAGAATAATTTTGTTGAAATTTTGTATTTGTTGTTGTTTTATAATGAATTAGTAAAAACTGCAAAACCACATAAAAACTCATCAAACTCTAAGAATTAAGCTGCACAATCAAGTTGTGAAAAACAGATCTTTTCTGATGGGTACGCATTAAAATACAAATATTTAAATATTATAAATGCCTAGGTTGCTTATATAATTAACATATAATAAGTATGTGTTTTATTTTTATGTATTAGAAAATGCTAGAGCTTTAGAGTCAAACACACTTGCGTTCACATTCTAGTACTGTCGTTTTTTAGCCTTGAGGCAATAATTTATTTATCTGCTACTCATTTATTAACTGTGCATGCCTGTTTCACAGTATTATTATAAATATCAATTGACATCAACATTTGTAAATACTTTGTATATTGCAAATCCTCAATAAATTATGTTTCATAATAACTAACATTTACTTGTGGTATAATCACTATATGCCAAACATCATGCTGAATAGTTTTCATGCATAGTATCATGTAACACTCATAACAATCAGTGGCAAGAATTATTTCTTTCATAACAGAGATAACAAAACTGAAGCGGAAAACAATTAATTTATATAGTAAATAGATGGCAAGCTTGGGATATAAACTTATTGGAACCAAGAACCTGATTACCAGTACCACTACCATTAGTTCTTTCTCCTCTTCTTCTTCTTATTATTATTGTGCACTAGCATTTTTAAAGTACTTTCATATATTATTATTAGCATCTAGTTCTCTGAGCTCATCTAATTGAAAGATGAAAACTCTCAGGTTCTACAAGGAGACTTCTGCAAAATAGTCACATAGTAAATAGTTGACTTTAACTCAGTTTCTTTGGTTCTAAATCTAATGTTCAGAAAATTGTCAAAACAGGATGAAAGAAATAAAGGGTTGTCAGGCAGGGGGAAACCAGAGTGGTAACGTTTGCTAAATTGCAAGCGAAATAATGAGGGACTAGTCTGAACAACACATATTCTGTCATGACTGCCCATACTTTGTAAGACAGCACTTTGTTGCTCTCTGTCGATTCCCAAAGCATCTTACCCTGTTTGGTGCCTCTATCATTCTGTCTACTGTTGATGACTGAGCCAATGCTTCAACCCAAATGACAATAAGTAGAAATGTCAAAAAAAAAGTATTTAAAATGCAAAGTTATGCAATTCCTTTTTTTTCTTTTCTGTTATTTCTTTTCTTTTTCCTCTTAGAAGCAAAATTTGCTGTAAAGGGTTAAAGAGTATGTCTATGGAGAGCTTCCCAGGCCCCAGTAGAGGGTAATCAGTGATGATTCTATTTCTAAAGAGATTAGTTTTTAAAGTCCCACATGAAGAAGGTATTGTTATTATAGGTACACTTGAATCAATTTTTGATTTCCTGTCTTATAGCAGTGAATTTCGCCTACTGATTATGATGATCCATTGTTTAAAGTGGTGTCCTTACATTTTGCACTCTTTAACTTGATGGAATCTGCAACTTGTAGAGACAGACTTCAAAAGCTATCTGATAGTAAGTCATCACAAAGAACTTGATAGTCAATAGATCAAACTCTTGGAGCAAGTAGAAACCTTTGGGACATTTGTGTAACAGGCAGATGCCAGCACACACAATGTTAATTTCTCATAGGAACAATGGTTTTAAGTGGGTTTTTTTCTTTATCAGATCTTTTTTAAAAAACTGATTGCCAGATATTTGTAGTTGGTTGAACATACAATGCCAGTGGTTATTGTCAGGAAAGGTCAACTCATACTCAAGAGGCTTCTTTCTTTAGAAGAGGATTATTTCAATTTCGAAATGATCTGTTGAATCTCTACCACACAGGATGATGTAATGAACACACTTGCCCCAAGTATGCCTCCTAAATTTTCTCAATTTTTTTTGTTAATGATAATTTATAGAGCTCATTATTCATAGTTCTTATTATGAGATGAAGCACATTATCTCTTCCCATCATAGTTTCTTATTTCTAAATTCCTTATTTTTTGACCCCCAAAGAGGTCTTGTGTGCTATAGGCCTTGTTCCATGGTTAAGAATATCTGCTTTGTCTGTATAACTGAAAAACAACTTGTCTGGATAACAAATTAGGCATTCACTGCTAATTTCCCTAACAACTTTGTATATATTTTCAACTCACTGATGACATTGAACATTACCCTGGTGAAGTCTGACTCCAAACTGACTTTCCTCATTTTAAGTGACTGAATTTTATGTTTGGATACCCAAAGGACTCTTGACTCATCTTTGAATTTTAAGAATTTTGATGGATATGTCTTGGTGTTAGTCATTTTCTAGAATTCTTTGTTCTGAGACTCAGTTGACTTTTTTAACTTTCAGGTCCAAGACTTTCTCTTTCAGAAAGATCTATTTTCCATTGGTTCTATTCTTCTTATACCAATTAGGCATTCATTGTTTTGTTTTTTTAAAAAGTGTCATCTCAGCCAGGCTCGGTGGCTCAGCCTGTAAACCCGCGCCTTTGGGAGGCTGAGGTGAGTGGATTGACCGAGCCCGCGGGTTCGAGACCTGCCTGGGCAGCAAGACCTCATCTCTACAATAAATCAAAAATCAGCCGGGCATGGTAGCACACGCCTGTAATTCCGGCTACTTGGAAGGCTGAGGCGGAAGGATCGCTGGAGCCCAGCAGGTCGAGGCTGCGGTGGCCGGGAGCGGCCACTGCACTCCAGTCTGGGCGACAGAGTGAGATTCCAACTCAAAAAAATTAAAAATAAAATAAAATAAAATAAAAAGTGTCATCTCTATCAACTATGCAATAGATTCTATGCCTTTATTTTTTTATTTGACTTTTTCAAGTTTGATTGCCATGACCCTATCTTTTCAGTTGCAACTATATTACTACTAGGGTTAGGGTTTCAACTCTTTAAT